AATAATCCCACATGAATTTTTATATTTCATGGAGCAGCAGCCTGCGCTCTCACCCGCTAGGTCGCATGAGGACTCCTACCCAAAAAAGCACGGACTTGAAAGCCCCTTGATGACACCTTTTTCAGCCTCTGACATTTTGCTTGGCTAGACTTTCCCTGCAGAGGTGTTGATCCTGCTGTGAGTGTGAGGGTGACCCTGGATCATGGAGAGCTGCAGGGCAGCAGTGATTCCCCCAGCTCAGCCCCAGCAGCCCTGTGAGACCCACAGGACAGGCCAGCTGCTTCTTTTTTCTGACAGCTTCCCACTACAGGGATCCTCAAGTTGGTAGGAGAGCAGACACATCCCACCACAGAAGAACTGCCAGCTGTTCTGGGAAGCACAGACTGCCCTGCAAGTGCCAGCCCAGCCCCAAAACAGCACTTTTGCAAAGAAACATCCATAAAACCACAGCATGAACCAGCTTACAGAGAGCAAACTGACCCAGCCGGTGCCTGCGTTCTGGAGAAATCCCCGTAAGGAGGGAGCTGCCCCTTCCTCCCAGGGACTCCCTGGGATGCTCCTACCAGACCACATCCATCCTGCATGATGCCCCAATGCTTTGCTGAGCTGCAGATGACCTCCACTTCCCTGCAGTCTGCCAGGACAGACACTGCCAGGAGCCCAACGCACCCGCAGGGCCGGGTGCTTGCGGCCAGTATTGAATTAGAAGTGGGAGCAGTCCCTGCCGTGAGCGTGGGTGTGCTCCTGTGACAGCTCCTGGGGTGGCAGGTCCTCTGGGAAGGGCTGAGCAGCACATGCTGACGCACAGGCGGGATGCTTCCAGGGCCAACACTCTCTAAGGTCGTGGCCGGGCCAGGCTGGAGGTCAGGTCTTTTATTAGACCAATGGACACAGTTGGAAAAACCGGCACATTTTGGCTGCGCAGGCATTCTTTGGACATCTGTTTTTTCCTAAAGGTATTAGTTAGGCTAATAAAAGACATTACCTCTGCACACAAACTTTGTCACCCTTAAAACGCACCGGAGGCTGCAAGGCTCAGCAGCCCATGGGGAGCAGGAACAGGCACAGAGCACAGGAGGCACTTGCTGGAGCTGTTTTGTTTCCACCCCCTAAAACAGCACTGGCCAAAGCCCATGTCTGCCCCCAGCAAGCACAGCACTGGGGCTGGCACCCAAACTGCTTCTTGCCCCCCCCATTTCCAGATCTGTGTCTGAGGTTTACCTGCTCCCTGGCTACAGCATCAGCCCTGTCCTTTCCTTCTCCTCTGCAGCGTCTCCAGGCCAAGCAAATGCTCAAGGAACCAACTTTTGATGGTCCACCTGCACCTCCCCATGCTCGTGTTTTCAGCTTGTGAGAGCTGATAAACAACTGGTACCATCTGCTGCTTCACATGACCCCGGCCAGCAGGGCCAGAGGACCACACTGCTCCTGGCCTCTCTGCCTGGGGACATTCCCCATTCAGGTGGGCTCCTGTGTCCCCACCAAGCCACCAGGCAAAGCATCCCCATTGCAGGTACCTGCACAGACTCCTTCCCTCCTAGCCTCAATCCCACCATCCAGCATAAATCCACGAGGCCAGTAATGCACCAGCACAGCAAGGGATGGATCAAGGCTGATAGAGGAGATTGAAAATGGCCCGAGTCCTGTGTCCAGGCACTGATTGCAGTTTGCAGCCATATCTTTAACAGTTTTTAACACACCCCCTTTTTTTGAAGGGCTCCAAGCCCTGAGGCTACAGGGCTGTACAAGGCTGTGAAGATGTAGATGGCATTGGGAAGGAAGGGGATACTGGCTGAGGTGCCGACAAGTAGCTAGAAAACACTTGAGTTTTTTGCTGGGGCCAAGGCATGGGAGGCAGAGCCAAGAGAGCAGCAGGATACTCCAAGGAGCAGGGACACCCTGGGGGCTGTCATCCTTCCACAGCATACCTCGAGCCATGGAATGAGATACACATCTCCCTGTGTGGTGGAGGGAGCAGAGCGGGACACCCCTCACTGGACATCCAACCTTAACATACCCAAGCCCAGAGAGACAGAAAACACTTCTTCTTCCCTGCTTTACATCAGTAATAAGACCTTCCAAGATATTTTGGGTTCCCTGGAAGAAGGGGGGACAACAGAGTAGAGTTCCTGGGGGACAGTCTTGGTCTCTCCAAGACAACCTCCATCTCCACAGCTTTGGAACAGACAAGCAGCAGGGCTGAACTCCACACAAGCCCACCATCAATACCAGGGTAGTTCCTCCCGGGACACCCCACATTTAGGGATCTCTTGACCTTCCTAAACCCCTCCAGAAAGGCTCGTGCCACCTGAAGGTAGTGCTGAGGATCCTGTCCCCTTCTTGGGACAGAGGGCTACAGCAAGGTACTGCTGTTTCTGGGGAGGACATGGGAACCAAGGCACTCCCAACCGCAGCCCCCTCACTGCTGGCCAACAGTCACATGTGGAATTTACAGCTTGATATCGATTCGTCTTCTGCAAGCTCTGCCATTGCAGTCGGTGGCTTTTGCAGGAAAACAACATGAATCATAAGCTACAGGCCGCCATCTCCCTGCGTCCGCACGGTGTGACTCATCCAGCCCTTCCAGGGGTCTCTCACTGCTCCTCCACACCTGGGGATGGGCACACAGAGGAGCATGGGGGGCACCATCTCCCACTGGCAGCTGGGGACTGAGTTGTCACAGCTCCTCAGGTTTGCAGGGTGGTCTCCAAGAAAGCAGCATCACACTTTCCCTCCACCCGGGTCCTCCTGCCCCTTTCTCAGGCTCCAACACCACCAGCACACATGTGGCGATGGCAGCGGTAAAAACACACCAAGCAAAGTCACCACCAGGGCCAAAAACACAAAAGGAAGCCAAGGGCAGTCCTGAGGTACTGAAGTTGAAAGGGTTGGAAACATCAGTGAGAGAGACTCATAACCCCTGTCCTCCGAGGCCATGAAGCAGGCACAAGACACAGGAGCTTAATATCTTGCTTCTCTCTTTGTCTAGAGTCCTAACCTCATTCTAGCAGGCTCTACCCTGACACCCAAAAATAAAACCACAACTCATTAAGGTACATCCAGAAGGCAGAATTCCATAAAAAACCCTTTTAAGCAAAATCCTCCATGACCGTGCCCTGGAGCACAAACAGCCAAGACAGCAGCTCCATCTCCAGTGCCCACCCAGAAATCCTCAAGACAGGATGCTCAGTGGGATCACAGTCCTCTGTGCCCAGCCCAGCACCCAGAGATGCCCCCAGAACCAAACCTGTTTATAAAAGCCTGCAGAAGCAGAGGAGCAGGCGGTGCTGGTGACACTCCGCAGCGGGGACACGCTCGCCTGTGCCATACTTCACCATGACACGCTACTGAAGGAAATATTTCCAGCCTGGTTTTTGACTGAGGCGTCCCTTTCCTTCTGTTTAAATTACCACCAACAGCGCATTAAATATGACACGTTCTACAGTACTGACAGTACCGCACAGAGAGGGGGAAAAACGCAAAACAACCTGTAATGAAAAGTCTGTTTGGCTGGGATGGGTTTTCTATCCCCACCCAACACAGCCACGCCAGACCCACCAGCTTCCCAAAGGCACGGGAAGTGGGAAAGGCTTTGTGCATGTGAGTTTTCCGGTCAGCATCCGTGCCCCATGCCAGCAACACCAGGTTGCAAGGGAGGAATTTGGGGGCTGCAGCTGCTGGGGTGACTTGGCACGTACCAGGGGGCTGGGTGAGGTGAACCTGGTGGGTGACCTGGGGAGGTCCTGGCTTCCCCCTGAGCACACAAGGGTGCCCCAGACACAGATGGGCATTGGAAAGCAGGAGCTTTGCCTTCACTATCCTTGCCCAAAGGAGCACCACGGGTGAAGGGAAGATGCTTGGCGATCCCGCCAGAGGCCAGCAATGTTGGGGTTTATTTTCCTGCTGTATCAAGCCCCGCACGTTTTTTCTATTGTTTAATTTCCTTCTTCTCCACCCACGGCAAGTTCACTCAGAAGAGAGGAACTTATTTCCTATTGAATTCATCCTGGTTGTTTTATTTGGAATAGGACAACTTCCTTAGCCGTGGTCCCTGTGTGCAGCTGAGGGGAGAAGGCACAGGGCCGCTCACCTCCCCATCTGCACCAGCCCTGGGGAAAAAACACTCTCAAGTCAGAGCAACAAAGATGCTGCTTTGCTGCAGGAAGAGGTGCTGTTCCAAGGATGCCGGTGACAAAGGGGCACTGCAAGGCACTTGCTTCCCAACACTGTGAGCACCACCAGTGGGAAGATGACCATCCCATGGTGTGCTGGCTGAGACCACAGGGAGAGTCCCAGTGCTGGGATAAAACTGCAGTGCTGGGAGGGAGCACAAGTCTCGATAGGAAGCCAAGCCTTCCAGGTGATTCCAAAGGTTGCCCAAGCTGGTGTGTCTCCATACCGTGGGGTATCAGGGGCTGACCCCGTCAGCGGTGGAGGCAAACCCAAAAGACTTGGGGAGATAATACACACAGCTGTGCGTGAGAGGCCCAGGAGCTCACCAGTGGCTGGGAAAAAGCCAGGACCTCTTCCAGAGGGGGCAGCGAGATGCTTCACAGGGGCGCCAGCCAGAGCGGCCAAGCCGTGCCATGCACAAGGTGTGAACCTGCACACCGGCTCTGGGCCGCGCTGGTCCTGCATGGACCTGCTCGCACCCCTGCGGAGCGGGGACGCCCCAGGCCTCGCCTGCTCGTGGCCGGTGCCCGGGCCGCGGCGGGCGGGAACACCCCGGCCCCGCGCGGCCTCCTGCGAGCCCCCCGTGCGGCGAGTCCCCCCTCGGCCCGGCGGGCGGCTCGGGGCGCTGGATTCCCGCCGGACCCCCCGCTCCGCCCGGGCCGGCTCCTCCCGAGCGCACGGGGCAGAGCCGCGGTTCCCGGCGGGGCGGGAGGAGCCGCCGGGCCCGGACCCCGGCGCAGCCCGGCCGGGGCGGTGCGAGACCCAGCCCGCGCTGCCTCCCCCCATCCCTCCCTTTGTCTGCGCCGCCCGCCCCGCTCGGGCCGTACCTGCCGCCGCCGGGCCCGCTCCGCCAGGCCGCCGCCTCCACCGCCGCCCGCTCCGCCGGGCTCCGCCGGCCCGGCCCCGCTCGGCGCGTCCCGCCCGCCGCCCGGGCAGGCACCGCCCCCGCCGCCCCCCGCCAGCACCGCCCCGGGGGCCGCGCGGGGCTCCCGCAGAGCCGGGGCTGCGGCCGGGGCAGCGCTGACCGCGGGGCTGGGGGTGCTCCTGCCCCAGTGCCCCCACCCTGCCCAGCTCCTCGCCCCGTCCAGTCCCCGCGGTGACCGTGAGCCCGGCGATAATCCCCCGGCGGGAGGGCTCTGATCGCCGGGCTCCGAGAGCCTGTGATGATCCATGTGCCCGGCGATGCTCCCACCAGGGCCCCTCGCTCCCGCGGTTCACCGGGATGAGCGCGATGGGGTGCGCGAAGGGAACGGCCCCAGACAGTGTGTTTGGTGGAACTGGGGTGTCAGGCTCACGGCTTCTACATGGAGCCCTTTCATATTTCCCCCAGTGTAGGCACACCTTTTGTGTCACAGTTTTGAAGCCAGCCAAGCCTGAGGTTGTCCCCATCCTCCTCCCCAGCCGCAGAACCCAGGTTCAGAGTGCTGGTACACCACATCGTTTCAGCTTTTCCGCCCCGGCTCCAAGACAAGCTCAAGGGCCACGTCCAAGTCACGGGCTGGCTGCCTCCAACCTGCACACACACACAAAATTCCCTTCATTCCTCAGAGAGGGGGAAAATGAGCTTAACACGGCTCAGCTGCTCCACTCCTGCCCCTGTCCTGCCCTTGGAGGCTGCTGAGGACACCAACAGCATGCGGGGACATTAACCACCAGCACGAGCCACTCAGGCCCATCTTACTGCCCATGTCAGAAGGGATGTGGTGCACTAAGACAACCCTGCCAGGTTTCATGTCCAGTCCATGGGGACAAGTTTCATGACCAGCTCACAAGGATAGGATGTGGCAGGTCTGCTGGGTTTGGTTTAGGCAGCCCGTTCTGGGAGAGCTTCTGACTGAGCCGGGGTGGAGGAAGCAATTTCAATCAAATGAAACAGACAGATAAACAAACAAAAAGAAAAGACAAAAGGAAATCGTAGGGAAAGAGACACAAAGAATGGCAGACAATTACGGCTTCAAATTTTCCAACGGGCTCTGAGGCGTTTATTGAAGTCAAAGATTTCTTTATCCTTAAACATTTCACTCCCCTCACAAGCCTTTTCTCCGAAGATCCATGAATAACTTGCCAATGCCGAAGTTACTTGAAAGCTCAGAAAACAAAAAGGGACAAACAGCAAGTTTTTGAACTGCGAACTGCTGTAAAAGGTATTAAAGGGATTATGGTTTTTTTCAGCCTTAAATGATTTGCAAACTCAGCCTGAAAAAAGTATCTCCCCCGGGAACAGCATTCCGAGGCCATGCTAACCTCTGCCAGAGGAGATTCATGCACAAATCATTGAGCAAAAAGCCAGCAATGAGTAATCAAAGGCACGCGGCAAACTCCAGGAACAATCTGCAGAATCCACAATCTCCAGTGGTAAAGTTTTCCACTGAATAATTTCTTCTGTGAAAAAGGAATTTGTTGAATTCTTGGTCTGACATTTGCTAATACTTTTTTTTTTTTTTTTAAAGAATGACTGGCTCGCTGGAAACAGAAGGCTGCTCAGAGAGGCACTGGGGTTTATTAATACCAGCTCTGCCATTTTACATGAGTATCAGGTAGCTTTCTTTTTTCTCCTGTTTTCTGTTTGCAAACACAAAGGAAACCAGTTCCTTTCCTGTGTGCTTTAACTCACAGGCTCTTCTTCAGCACATCTGTCGGAAAGCAGTTCCGCGGCTTTCCTCCACATTGTCTCCAATTTATTAATCAACACTTTCAGCTCCCTACTGAGTTACAGCCAAATTATGGTCCTTGAAGTCCATGGCAGCACTTCCACTGACTTCATTAGGACCAGAAACTGGCTCTTGAAGTCTCTGCCAATTCCTTAAGTGCTTTAACTTCAGTGTTGGACATTTCTGTTTTAATCTTCCTATGCCTGTTTCTGACACATCATTTACATGTGTGCATGCACAAACTGCCTTTCTGGAACTAAAAGCTGCCTTAAAAGCAAACAGAAAACTTTTCTTCTTTTACCTGTGAATGGGTGGACTCAGGACCCTGAATGTGTCTTTGCCAGGGCTGTTAGAGGACAGATGCCATTTTGAGGGGCCCGTGAGAGAGCCAGGACCGCAGACCCTGCTCTGTACCAGGGAGACAGCTGGGGTTCATCCTGCTGTGGGAAGAGTTTTGGCCTATTCCAGCTCCAGTCTCTGTTTCAAGGCCACCACTGGTCCGGTGGCTTGTGAGAACAAGTCGCAGCCATGGAAACAGTGATATTTGAGCACTAAAAATTCCTGCTTGCGGGAAGCCTGGAGCTGAGACCTTCACAGGTCAGGCCATTTACTTCCCACTGACCCCTCTCAGCCTGAACCAGTTTACTCCAAGGCCAAAGCCCCGCAGGAGGAGAGGCTGGGAGCTACATTCCCATTTCCCTGGCCTTTTTGTTTAGTCACTGGCTGAGTTATGAAATCCGCCTGCAGCGTCACCCTGTCTGTGGGTTTCCCATGGGCTGGAGAGGCTATTACCAAGAAGCAGTTGGAATGTTAATTACCCATTAAGGAAATAAATCTGGGGGATTTCTCAAAGCAAATACACATCATCTCTGGCACTGACCTCACCCTGGCCTGAGCATCCTTCCCTTCCCGGCAGGCTGGAGGACACAATCCTTGCAGCCCCTGCCCAGTGCCTCCCTTTTTGCTCATCCCAGCCTGGAAAGGCTCTCAGTGCTGTCCTTGGCAGTAGGACAGCCTGGCTGGAGCTGGCATTCGAGCCCCAGGAACATTTTGCAAGGTAGGCAGTTCCCTTGTGGATACATCAGGACTAGTACAAGGCAAAGTGAAAGGCAAGAATGTGTCCCAGGGAGTGGGGAAAGCCCCATCCTGCCCAGAGGGACCAGGAGCAGCCTGTTTCCCAAGCAGCTTTGGGGCTGAGGGCACTGTGGGATTTTGAACCGACGGGTAATTTTTTTAGCAGCTCATCTGGTTATTCCAGCCTGTTACCCCATAAGTGGAGACTAGTTTGTTTCTTTGCCTCTGGCTTGCATCTGTTCCAGGACAACATCCATAGGCTGGCACAAGCCTCACCGAGGATCGTCACAGCCAGCCCTGCACGCGAGGCTCCACGGGGATAAACCCACCCTGCCTGGCTGCCACACACCCCTGACCGTCCCCAGGCTCCTCCTCAGATGGGTCACCCACAGCCACACACGGCCTGATGCAGGCTGACCTCTGCCATACACCCTGCTGCTGGCTCCTTCCTTCCCCCTTCCTCCAAATCAGGGCACAGCTGCTGTCACTGGAGCCCTCGGCTGGAATTACAGCCGTGCTGCCAATGTATATTTTAAAAACCTCTCCTTCAATATTTAAACTGGAAGATCCCTGATGCAGTGGCAAACGGGTAACAAAGACGGGAGTGAGTGAGGGTGGCCCACCAGGTCAGGATGGGCATCCCTGAGCACGGAGGGTTTTCCCAGGGAAGAAACCTGGCACAGGGGACTGCAGAGCCTCATGGACCAAACCTCCTCTCCCTGGTGGCAGTGCCAGAGGTTTGCAATCTGCCTCTTTTCCAAAGGTCTTTGATGTTCCCTGTCTTTACTCTCCCGAGCGCTTTTTAAATGACTCGGAACCAGAAAACATTCGCTTGCAGGACCACCTTTACGTAAAAATTTACAGATTTTGCTGTAGAGGTGGAACAAACCCCCCTGATCACAGCTCTGGTCCCTGTGCCATCGCCCAGAGCTGCACAGTCTGCACTGCTCCCATCAGCTGCCAGAGCTCCTGACAGAGAATCACCGGACTGAAACCTCTCCCATTATCTCCTTGATGAAAAATACTCCAGACTTACACCCACTGAACCACCACGCACATCCCCTTGTGGGTGAATTCTCAAGCACCTCCTTTTAGGCAGGGCTCCTGCCTGAGCTCGGGGCAGGGACAAGCAGCTACCTGGAGACCCCCTCGACACCTCGCTGTGCTCAGTCCCCACAGCGGAGCGAGGGGGAAAGGCCTCTGTGCCCCAACATGGCTGAGCTCCCCTCTGTGTAGCCAGGGAGAAACGGGCTGCGTCCTGGAATTACAGCCACCTTCATCCGGTTGTTTTTTTTGAACTGAGTCGTTTCCTAAGCTCTCCGTGGGCGGGTCCGTCAGGAGCCCAAACACCCAACCGCGTCCGCCTCCATCTTCGGGAGGAGCGGAGGGGGACGCGGCGGCGGCGCCATCTTGGTAAGGTCAAGCGGAAAGGGAGCGGTGGAGGGAGGCGGCCGCCATCTTGGGGAGGTCGGCGCTGCTTGGCCTCGGGACCGCCGGTTACGGTGTGGCGAGCGGTTACGGTGTGGCGAGATCGGGACCAGGACCTGAACTCGGATTGGGATCGGGATTGGGATCGCGACTGGGACCGGGGCACAGCCTTGTAAGCTGTCGGGGACACGCCACGTCCCGCCATCCCTTCCGGGTGAGGCGGTGCTGCCCGCCCCCTGGCCCTTCCGCTTCCTTTCCGCGGCGGCCGCCGGAGCAGAGGGGCAGGTGAGTGCGGGGCTGCCCCGCATCCGCCGCCATCCGCCCGCCTGCGCCTCTCCGCGGGCCCCGGGCCCTCCGCCCGCCCTCACGGACCCGGCGCTGCGCAGGGCAGCGCTCCGGGCGTGGGGCGGGAGCGCACGGCCCAGCGGGCCCGCGGGGGAGCCCGGGGCGGGCGGAGCGGAGCTGCGGGCCTTGGCGGGGGGAGTGCAGGGCGGCACAGCCCTGAGCGACCGGGGCTGAGCCCTGAGCGGCCGGGGCTGTGACCCGAGCGCGGGGGAGCGGCGGGGTCGTCACCCGGGGGTCTGTGCTAGCGGTGCAGCGTGTGCCGCCTGTGCCGTGTCGGCCTCGCTGGGCCGGGGACGGCGGTGTCCGTGGAGCTTGTGGATGTGTCGGGAAGGGGACGTGGCGCTATCGGCAGGCACTGATGGGAATTGATGTTGTCT